GTATACTGAATTTTCTTTCATTGCAGTGAAGAAAGAGATGCTATGTATAAATTTCACCTTCCTAAGAAGTGTGTATCTAAAGCCAGGTGTGGTGGTGCTCGCCTTTAATCCCAGCACTGGGGGGACAGAGGCAAGCGGATCTCTGTGAGATTGAGACCAGCCTGTCTCTTTTTGAGATAGGGTCTTCCTGTTGCCCCAGCTGGCCTGGAATTCACTATGTAGACCAGGCTGGCCAAAGTTACAAATTCTGTTTCCAGTGCATCAATCACAGTTTGGCATCTGTGGCCATGATTCTCTCAGATACTGGAATAAAGAGCCTGAATGTCCAGATCAGCTCTGTTTTCCTTAAATCTTGTCATCTTATTTCACCAGGTCTTTTGATTTAGGCCCTTAGGGCGGGCGTGGGCATTGTACTTCCTTATCTCTGGCCTGGACAAAGATGCTCAGTACTTAGTGGAGAGTGGAGATGTAAAAAGGGACTAAGGACCAGGTGACCTCTGGGATTTTTCTAGGCCTCCCTCATTTCTGTGTCCTCTGAATCTGAGAACAAGGGCTGAATTTTAAACCACACACATAGCATGCTTTATAACCCTTTTTATATATTTTTGCCTTTTGATTTTTATCGTCTTCTGAAACCATTCTAACAAACAAAATATAATGTTTATCCTTTTCCAGGAAGCAAGATTTCCAGATGTAGCAAATGGATATGTTGAAGAGATAATTCGCTTAAAGAATTACTATGATTTGAATGTGTAAGTATCCACCATGGTTTTTTCTCATTTTTCTGGCGGTAAACTACAGGTAACATCGTTTTTTACTATTTTTTTTTAAGGTTTATTTTTATTTTATGTATATTAAGTGTTTTGTCTACATGCATTTAAATGCACCATATGTATGTCTGGTGCCTGCTAAGGGCAGAAGAGGGCATTGGATCCCCTGGAACTATAGCAGGACAGATATTAATTGCCATGTGGGTATTGGCAACTGCAGTTGTTTTTAAATATACATTTGAATGGCATTAAATACATTGACATTACTTTCCACCCTCTCAACTATTCATCTCCAGAAATCTCATCTTCCTAAACTGAGACTGTATCCATTGAACTCGTAACTCCTCAACCTTCTCCCAGCCCCCAAACCCACTATTCTTTCTGTCTCACGGAATTTGATTAGGTATCTCATGTCATACTGCATTTGTCCTTTTCTGACTGGACAGATTGGGAGGAAAAAAAGGCCTAAAATGTCTAGAGCAAACTTTTTTTTTTTTTCCTAATCTTTTTGAGACAGGCTCTCCCTGTAGCCCCAGCTGGCCTCAAACTCACTGAGATCTGCTTGCCTCTGACTTCCAAGTGCTGGGATTAAAGGCCTGCGCCACTATGCCCACCATAGCGCCTTTGAAGCAGATATATACACAGCTAGTTTGCATGTTACCCCATCTCTCTCTCTCTCTCTCTCTCTCTCTCTCTCGCTCTCGCTCTCGCTCTCGCTCTCTCGCTCTCTTTTTGAGACAGCGTCTCCCTGTAGCTGCAGCTGGCCTGGCACTCGCTATGTAGGCCAAGCTGGACTTGAACTCACAGAGATCTACCTGCCTCTGCCTCCCAAGTGCTGGGATTAAGTGTGTGTGCCACCATGCCTGGCTGCTCATGTCACCCCATTTCTCTTTGATGGTTCTGTTCTAAAGTTAGTCCCATAAACACCATTTCTGGATCTTTTTTTTTAAATGTGTTTGAGTGTCATGCCTGCATGTAGGTAGGTGCACCTGTGTGAGGTGCCCACGGAAATCAGAAGAAGGCATTGGATCCCCTGGAACTGGATTTACAGACAGTTAGCCACCATGCGGATCCTGGGAATCAAACCTGGGTCCTCTGCAAGAGCAGCCAATGCTCTTAACTGCTGTGCCATCTCTCCAGCCCCATTTCTGGATCTTTAAGAATTCTGCATTGTTATGGAAATTAGATGTTTAGAAACTCTGGGCATAATTCTGCCTGTTTTGGTCAAGACGATAAAGGATAGTGTTCTGCAAGCACCCTATCTATTGGCAAAAATACACCAAGCAATTCTGTAGTTTTGGGTTAGAAAAGTGACATTAGGGGGCCTGGAGAGATGCTTCAGCAGTTAAGAGTACTGACTACTTTTGCAGAGGACTCTGGTTTGAATTTCAGCACCCACATGGCAGCTAACACTTAACTCCAGTTCCAGGGACTCTGACACCCTCCTCTTTCCTCCATGAGCATTGTATGGCATGGGTGCACTAACATACATGTAAGCAATACACTCATAAAACAAAAATAATAAATAAGGGGCTGGAGAGATGGCTCAGTGGTTAAGAACACTGACCATTCTTGCAGAGGACCTGGTTTTGATTCCCAGCACCCACATGGCAGCTACAAACCATCCTTAACTCCAGTTCTAGGGAAATCCGAAGCCCTCTTCTGATCTCCGAGGCATTGCACGACATGGGTGCACTCACATACATGCAGGCAATACACATAAAATATGCATAAAATAAAAATAGTAAAATATTTTTTTAAATAATAATAGGTCAGGCGTGGTGGTGCACACCTTTAATCCCAGCACTTGGTAGGCAGAGGCAGGTGGATCTCTGTGAGTTCAAGACCAGCCTAGTCTACATAGTGAGTTCCAGGACAGCTGGGGCTACAGGGAGACCCTGTCTCAAAAAGACCCCCTCCAAAAAATAATAACTAATAATAAATAAAAATTTTTTTTAAAAAGTGACATTCAGGCAAGCAAGATGGCTTAGCTGGTAAAGGCACATTCCCTGCGAGCCTGGAAGCCTAGTTTGATCCCCAGAACTCATGTAATGCTACAAGGAGGGAACCTGCTCTCCAAGAATATCCTCTGGCATGTGCATACACACAATAATAATTAAATTTTTATGTGACAGATAGGTGGTTTTTGTTGTTGCCCTTTTTGAGACAGGGTGTCCCTATAGCCCCAGCTGGCCTGAAACTCACAGAGATCCACCTGCCTTTGCCTGTGCTGGGATCAAAGGTGTGTGCCACCACACCTGGCTCAGATACGTGTTTTAATAAATATTGAAATGAAATAATTAAATGACAATGAAATGAAAAATGAAAAGTATGGCAGGCATGGTAATCCCAGCACGCAGGATGCTGAAACAGGAAGAAAAGTAAGTTTTTTCTTTTGCTCTTTTTTCTTTTGTTTTTTCTCTGCCTTCTTATCTACGTTGATGAAATCACTTTTTATAAAAATTGGTGTTGAGGGTGGGAGAAATGGCTCAGTGTTTAAGAACACGGTTCTTGCAGAAGACTGGGGTTCGAACCTCAGCACCCACATGGCAACTAACAGCTGTCCATAACTGCAGTTCCAGAGGACCCGACAGCCTCTTCTGTCTTCCGCAGCCGTGCACAACATGGGTGCACTCACCTACATGCAGGCAGTACATGCATACACATAAAATAAAAATAATAAATATAATATTTTTAAAAAGAAAGATTCGTGTTGAAATTAGTCAAATTCTCAAATAACCAATACAAATATTTTTTAATTTATTATTTTTTATTTTACATGTATGAGTATATTGCCTGCATGTATGTGAGTGCACCCATGTCCTGCAGTGCCACGGAGGTCAGAAGAGGGCTTTGGATTCCCCTGGAACTGGAGTCAGTGATGGTTCGTAGCTGCCATATGGGTGCTGGGAATCGAACCCGGGTCCTCTGCAAGAGTAGTCAGTGCCCTTAACTGCTGAGCCAATCTCCAGCCCCCCACAAATAATTTTAACTAAATGAAAGAACACATTAAACCCCTGTTCTCAACTCATGTCTTAACTCTAGTTCTCAGCCAAGGGTGCTAGTAGTTCTCTTCCATGACCAAGACTGAACAGGAAAGGCCCCACCTCAAAGAAGGCACTTCCAAATAAAACAAACAAAAAACCCGATTTTTTAGTCTTTTTGTGTGTATATATGACGTGTGTATTTGTGTAAGTATATGTTGCGTGTGTGAGTACATGTGCATAAATGCTTTGACATATGTGCCTCAGGTGTTAATCCTCAGTATCTGCCTTGTTTGAGACAGTCTCTTATTTGCCACTCCTTATGCCCAGCTAGCTGGCCCAAGAGCTTCCAGGGATTCTTCTGTCTCCACTTCCCATCTTGAGGTAGGAGATGGTAATTACAAGTGCACACTACCATGCCTGGCTTCATATGGGTTTTGGGGATTCAAAGTCAGGTCCTCATGCTTGCACAGTAAATACTTTACCTACTGAACCGTCTCCGCAACCCCAAGGTACTTTTTTTAATTTGTAGAATGACACATTGGTGACTATGGTGGCCTTGTGTAATCTTATCTCTATCCAGAGGCTGCCAATTACCAGTTTAAGTGAGGCTGAGACCAGGATTTCTATATTTATCTGTTTAGCTTTTAATTTAGAAATAGGTCTTTATTAGCTTTTTTTTTTTCATCTTGGTTTTGTTTTTTTGTTGTTGATTTTATTTTATTTCAAGACAAGGCCTCACTATATATTCCTGGCTGGTCTAGAACTCTTTGTGTAGACCAGGCTGGCCCCAGTCTCACAAAGATCCAACTGCTTCTGCCTTCTAAGTGCTGGGATTAAAGGTATGTGCCACCATACTCAGCTAAATTTTTATATTATGTGAGTGTTTTGCTTGTGTGTAAATGAGCCCGTGCATGTAATGCCCATGAAGGTCAGAAGAGGGCGTCCGATCCCCTGGAACTGGAGGGCAGCCAGTGCTGTTAACCACTGAGCCATCTCTCCAGCTCCCTTCGCAAATATTTTTCACTAAATGTGAATGCACAGTTATTCCCACTCATGTGTTACAGTTTTCTTGTAGAATAGCCCCTTTTCTTCCAAATCTCTAATTCCATGCAGTTTACACAGCATTCATTTCAGTGACTTCCTTGCATTAGTACCCAACTAGCAGATAAACATCAGCGGAGTTTGCATTTGTCAGTGTGCTCATTGTTTTGTTTGTTTGAGCTTGGGTCTTGCTGTGAAGCCTCAGCCTCCTGAATGCTGAGATTGCACATGTGTACCACCAGCACATCCAGCAAACCAAAAATAGAAATCCAGTGTCACTGTTTTTCTTTATTTTTGGTTTGGTTTCTTGGGGTGTAAGCATCTTAATTTCTTTTCCTTTTAATTTGAAACTCAAATTTGAGATCCTCCTTCCTCAGCAATCCCTATTGGGATTGCAGGAGTGTGCCACCACTCCTGGTGTGTCTTAATTTCTTAATAAATCAGTTGTCCTGTGTTACTAGGGATATTGTTTTCAAACATTTCATTTGACCCTCTGGGCGGGTGTGGGATATGCAAACCGTATGAAAGTAACATTATGGGGGTTTGTTTTTTGTTTTTGTAGACTTTGTAATTTTCTTCTGGAAAACCCAGATTATCCAAAGAGAGAAGACCGAATCATTATCAACCCCAGTAGCAGCCTTCTGGCCAGCCAGGACGATGCAAAGGCAAGTATCCTGCATGGTTTTGCTGCCTGTACCTAGAACTGCTCTTTGCCATCTGGAATGTGAAAAGCCTAGCAGGGAAAATAAGGTTTCACAATGGGCCCAGTCCTTCAGTGGAAATCTCCCTCTTTGAGTTCTGTATTTAAATTGTATTTAAACTTTTTTCTTTCAATGTTATTTTTACCTTCCCAATCCCATAAAGCAAGCCCCTAAAATGGAAATAGAACTGGCTAAGATTCTTTGTGACAGTTTAATAATTTGTTTTCCTTGATGTTTTACTCTGAAAATTTTTAAGCTTACCTAAATTTAAATGCTTTATATGAATCGGTATACCCGCCACTGGTAAAACTAAAACGTAAAATTTTATTCTGTCTAGTTAAGTTGCAAAAGTTTTGCTACACTGTAAATGCACTTCCTATAAATATTCAGTGTGCAGATCATTACCTAGACCTCATAGCTTTTCCTCTTGTAAGATTTCTGTTTTACCTGTTCAGCCAAATCCCATATCAAGTTGTAAATAGTTTCGTTTTTTCAAAACTTTAATTATTGTCATCATTTGGATCTAAACTAATGTTCAGTGTGTTGTGTGATGCATTAAGTTCTGCTGCTTCATTTCCTTCTGAGAGATTCTTTTGACTACTCCATTATTTGATAAGGGTGGGAAATTATTTTTTCTTTAAACATTTTGAGGAAAGAAAATGGCTTAAAAACTTGTGTTCAGAGGCTAGAGAGATGACTCAGTAGTTAAAGAGCACTGGCTGCTCTTTGCAGAGGACCCATATTCAGTTCCCAGCACCCACATGGCAACTAACAACTGTCTGTAACCCCAGTTCCAAGGGATCTGATGCCCTCTTCTGACCTCTGTGGGCATGCACATCATGAGTGCATTTTTGTACATGCACATACATGCAAGCTGTACAGTCGTACACATAAACGTAAATAAAAATCTCGAGTTCAGATCCCTAGGTATGCTTCTTGACTAGTAAAACTAGGCTCCAGACTCCAGCTCACTCTTTTGATGTGTAGCCTATTCTGCCTTTTACGGACCATCCACCTGCCACAGCCTCCTGAGCTCACGCCTACACCTATTTTTTTCATTTGTGTTTCAAGACTGGTTGCCTCCTTATAGAGTAATTACAAGAACAAACAAAATTCCTTTCTGTAACATAATTTTATTTTTTTAAAATAACATATTTTGATGCTATTTTAATTTTTAAATATTTTATTATTTTTATGTGAGTGCACCTGTGTCGTGCAGTGCCACGGAGGTCAGAAGAGGCCTTTGGATTACCCTGGAACTGGAGTTGAGGATGGTTTGTAGCCACCATTTGGGTGCTAGGAATCTAACCCAGGTCCTCTGCAAGATCAGTCAGTGCTCTTAACCACTGAGCCATCTATCTAGCCCCATATAATTCTTTTTTTTAAAAAAAAGATTATTTCGTGAGTGTGAGTGTGTGCCTGAGTATATGTGTGTACACCATATTTGTACGGGTGCCCCTGAAGGCCAGAAGAGGGCATCAGATCCTTTGGAACTGAAGTTTAAAGGTGTTTGTGAGCTGGCACTGGAGAGTTGAGATGGCTCAGCAGTTAAGAACACTGTTACTGCAGAAGACCCGGGTTGGATTCCCAGCACCCACATGGCAGCTAACAACTGTCCAAAACTCCAGTTCCAGGGGATCCAACAGCCTCTTCTGTTTTCCACTGGCATTGCATGACACGGGTGCAACACAGGCAATACACACACATAAAAAAATTTTAAAAAAATTTTTTTTTGGTCTTTTTGAAACAGGGTCTCCCTGTAGCCCCAGCTGTCCTAGATTCACTATGGAGACAAGGCTAGCTTCAAACTCAAAGAGATCGGCCTGCCTCTGTCTCCCGAGTGCTGGGATTAAAGGCGTTTTTAAAAAAGGTTTTTTAAAAAGGTTTTTTAAAAAGGTGTTTGTACCAGGCGTGGTAGCACACACCTTTAATTCCAGCACTGGGAGACAGAGGCAGGTGGTTCTCTGTGAGTTCAAGGCCAGCCTGGTCTCCATAGTGAGTTCCAGGACAGCTGGGGCTACAGGGAGCCCTGCCTCAAAAAGACCAAAAATAAGTGTTTGTGAGCTGCCTGACATGGGTGCTCGGATCCAAACCCAGGTCCTCCTCTGAAAAAGCATCAAGTGCTTTTAATTGCTGAACCATTTCTCTAGTCCCTATAATACATAATTCCCCTTATGGGAAATTGTGCTGTTTGTCCTCTAATTTTGTGCTTTGTCTCATTTCAGTTGCCTAAAATAGACTTTTTTGACTATTCCAAATTGACTCCTCTTGACCAGCGCTGCTTCATCCAAGCTGCTGACCTCTTGATGGCTGATTTCAAGATGCTCAGCAGCCAGGACATCAAGTGGGCCCTGCACGAGCTCAAAGGACACTATGCAATCACCAGGAAGGTGAGGTCCTTGGGATTTATTATTGGGGTCACGCCTTGATTCCACCCCCCCTGGGGTGTCAGAATGAGTGTAGCTTTTGAATTGGGGTACTTTATGGTGACAAAGAGCCACAGAATTTATCAAGGTGCATTAACTAGACAAAGATATTTGCTTATCAGGAAGCACTGGATGAGAAGAAAGGCTAGAGCAAGGAAGTCCTAAATCACCATAAAACCCTGGAGGGCAGAATCTGTACCCTGGAAAGCAGGATTCCTGGAGAGGGAAGTGTGTGTCCTCCTGTTCCTCCCTGGTTTGCTTTGACTTGGGTCAGGTCATATTGCCAGCCCCTAGGTAGCTCACATGTCTAGTCCATGAGGTAAATTGTCAGCAGCCGGGAAGACAATGGTAGTTTGCTTCAGAATAAAGTAAACAGATCCTAGTGGCACCAGTGCCAGCACTTTCCCTGAGGGCCCCATAAGCTACCATGTGAGGACTACCTTCTACAGCTCAGATGGGGACTGTGTTTGGTGGGAAGCACAGGCATACTGAAGGTCCACTACACCACTCTGGTCCACTGCAGCAGGCAGCCAGGATGCATGAGCTGTGATAGTGTCTGTTGCTTACTCTTTCTCCCTCAACTGCCATTAGTTAATATCTTCTCCTGCTGAAGTGCTTATGAGTCCAGCAAATGATTTTTTGTTGTTGTTGTTCCCCAAAGACAAGTACAGAGTTGTTTTAATAGCTAAGATCTTGTGCTTTCTGCATCTTACTGAACAGAGGAGTTGAATTCTGGCGTAGAAAGTGGTTGAGATTTCTCAGTAGTAACAACTGCAAGGCAGAGGGGCTGTGATGTGTAGGCTGTCTCTGGAATCTTGTTCCCACTGCAGAGGTTCCTTCCTCCTTTCCTGTGTTGTGACTGGGGCTGTAGCACAGCATCCCTGGTAGTAGTGCCTGTACATCTTTCAACTCAGCTTCCTGACTGCTGAGGTTATAGGCATACCCACCCTTCTTCAATGCCATGAGTAGTATGTGACTCCTGTGCACCATTTCACTTCATGACAAGTTACCTTATTCTTACGGGTATCTTCTTGTCCCTTTCCTGTGCTTTTGGTACTTTATATTTTTTTGTAAAGGTGTCCACTTCCTTGGGTGGGTAGTTTGGAAATTTAGGTGAGCTTTGAAATGGCATGAGTCTGGACTGTTTGAATCGAAGCAGACTGTTGAAGGGGATATGCTTTAGGCAGAGGCCATGTGGTCAGTGAGTTTTGGGATTCCTCCTTGCTCAATATGAATGATGCACAAGAGTTCTACCCTGTAAACAGTGACCACTGTGTAAAGAAGGGAGTAGAAAACACCACCAGTGTTTCTCAGTGGCACCCAGTGGTTCTTTACCACCCAGTGTGATCTAGTTTAATGAGACTAGATTACATTTCCCAGGTGTCTCATCTTTTTCTTTGTGTGTGTGTGTGTGTGTGTGTGTGTGTGTGTGTGTTTTAACTATTTATTTATTTGATGTGTGTGAATGTTATGCCTGCATGTAAGTGTGCCAGTGTCATACAGTGCTCACAGAGGTCAGAAGAGGGCATTGGATCCCCTGGAACTGGAGACAAGTTGTTAGCCAACATGTGGGTACTGGGATTTGAACTCAGGTCTTCTGCAAGAACAGCCCATGCTCTTAACTGCTGAGCCATCTCTCCATCCTGTTGGGTTTTTTTTTAATATTTATTTTTATTTTATGTGTATGAGTGTATTGCCTACATGTGTGTAAGTGTACCCATGTCGTGCAGTGCTTGTGGAGGTCAGGAGAAGTCAACAGATCCCCTGGAACTGGAGTTAAGGATGGCTGTTAGCTGCCATGTGGGTGCTGGGTTTTGAACCTGGATCTTCTGCAAGAGCAGCCAGTGGTTTGTTTTTGAGACAGGGTCTCACTATGGCTCCAGCTAGCTATCTGACAAGCCTGGCCTTGAAGAGACCTGACTGCCTCTGCCTCCACCTCCCAAATGCAGGGATTACCAGTCCCAACATCAGTTGCTCTCTACCTTGTATTTTGAGACAGGATCTCCCACTAAACCTGAAGTTCAGTGATTCAGCCATGCTGATATACCTGTCTCAGTGCCCCCTCCCCCAACACAAGTTAGTGTTGCAGCTTTTACATGGGACTGAGGATCCAAGCTTGGATTCTTGTGCTTTCACAGCAGGCATTTTACTAACTGAGCCTTGTCCCTATCCTCCAGATTACATACCAGTGACACTGCCTCTGCCACAATAGTGTGATATTGCTCATTACAGAGACAGAGTCATGTATCTCTGCAGTAGTTCTTCATAGTGTAAACCTCAAACATATCTAAAGTGATCAGTAAAGCTCTCAACTGAAGCACAATTTTGTTTACTCCCCTTGCCTATTTTCCTTCTTCCCAGTTTTGAAGCAAATTGCAACATTTCATTTTTATTTCATCTACAGATATTCTAATATTTACCTTTAGGACAAAGTAAAAAACATAATCAGAATGCTGTCATATACCTCAGAATGGAATCACCAGTGTCCAGTCACGTTTTCCCACATGTCCAAAGTCTCTTCACAGCTTATTGATCATATCAGGCCCCAGGTTAAATCTCTTTAGAGCCATTGGTTGGTAAGTCTCTTATATATAGGTTTTTGCTCCTTCCTGCTTTATTTTTTCTTGAAGATAGTTTGTTGAAGAATTGTTACTCTGTAGGTTTTAGGAGTCTGGGTTTTGCCAGCTGTACCCCCAGTTGTCATTCCTGTGTCCCCGTATTTCTTTCAAATTTCTAGATATAAGCCAGGCGTGGTGGCGCACAGCTTTAGTCCCAGTATTCAGGAGGCAGAGGCAGGCCGATCTCTGAGATCCAGGCCACCCCAGTCTACATGGGGAGTTCCAGGCCAACTGTGACTACAGGAAGACCTTGTCTCAAAAACAAAACGAATTTCTAGATCTAGAATCACGATGAAACAGATTACTTTTTCCTTTTTCCCTTTGGTTTGAATTCCAGTTCTTCCCATATGGAGGCCCAGAGATTGGGAGACAGACAGGGAGACACGCGCACACATGCACGCATGCACACATGCACGCTCGCTTGCTCGCTCGCTCCTGGTATGTGTACACTTCTAAGTACTTTTAGCCTGGCTGTTTCTTAAATATTATTTTTATTGGTCGTGTATGAGTGTATTGCCTGCGTGTATGTAAGTATACCCGTCATGCAATGTCCATGGAGGTCAGAAGAGGGTATTGGATCGCCTGGAACTGGGGTTATGTATGGATGGTTGTTAGCTACTATATGGGTGCTGGGAATCAAACCTAGGCCCTCTGTAAGAGCAGCCAATGCTCTTAACCACTGATCCATTTTTCCAGCCCCTAGCATGGCTATTTTTATGGAAATCTGTGGATGGGCTTCTTGGGGATCCCAGTGAGCCTGCAGTATTTCCAGGCCTTTTTTTTTTTTCCCCTTGTTTATAAAACTCTGTGGGAACAAAATGCTATTTCAATGCTAAATGCTCCTGATAAATAACTTCTAAACTGAAGTGAACTGTTAAACCTTAGAACACAGAGAAGCAAATCCTTCTGAAAATTATTGTTTATTTTTGGGAGTTCATTTCCGTAGCTACATATTGTTCAAATGCCTATTTGCAGTTTTTAAGAGTCTCATGCTCTACTGACTGAGCTAGCCAGGCATCTAGGTCTATTTGCAGTTTTTAAAATGGCAGTCTGGAGGCCTCTTCTGCCCTCCAGAGGCATCTCAGCTCTTAAATCTGTTTTGCAGAATTTGCCTTCATGTTTTGACTGTAGGCTTGTGCTTAATGGATCAGCTTTGAAAACTGTGGTGGGAGATCTTACATAGGCACAATTTGTTTTTTAATTTTATTTTATTTTATGTATATAAGTGTTTTAATTGCATGTGTGTAAGTGCACCCATGTGCATGTGTGCAGTGCACATGGAAGTCAGAAGAGGGTATCAGATCCCCTGGAACTGGGATTGACATGTGGGTACTAGGAACCAAACCTGGTTCCTCTGCAAGAGCACTTAACCACTGAGATATATCTCTAGCTCCCCCTCCCACCCTTTCTTAATACACACATTTTTCAGTTAATCTATTTTCAGGATTTTCTTTATTGTGCTTTTGGGAATATTCACTAATAAGGCAAATAATGTACTCTTTAACTCTTGAATTTTGTAGGGATTTTTGGAGTTAAAATTGTCTGTTTTTACATCCTCTTTGGCTTTTTGTTACCTCGTTTTTGTTTTGATTTTTTATTCAACCGGGCATGGTAATACGCACCTGTAATCCCAAGTACTTGGGAGGCAGAGGCAGGAGGCTTACCCCAAGTTTAACACCAGCCTGATCTACATAGCAAGTTCTAGGCTGTCCAGAGCTACATAGCACAACCCTGTTGAGAAAAAGATTCTTTGTACATTGGCAATGGAAACCCAATTCTTGATGCTATCTGAGCTGTCAGCTCCTCCTTCCATCCATGCCCTGTGCTCTCCCTCTAGGCTCTCCTTACTGCCCCCTGCTTCTGGTGCTTGGCTTGCCTGTGCCGTCATCTCAGGATCTCCCTTTGCATTTTCCTGGCTTAACCCTTGTATTCTAGAGTTAACATTTGTATTAATCAGGGTTCTCTAAAGGGATAGAACCAATAGAATGAATACTTAATAAAAGGGGATTTGTTAGCTTGACTTACATGGTATGGACCAGGTAGTCCAACACTGGGTGTCTACATTCTTGAAATTATGAGAACTGGGTAGCTGCTCAGTCTACAAGGCTGGATGCCTCAACATCCCAATATGGCACTGAAGGCCTGGAGGATTCCTGGATAGCCACAGGTCTTCAGTCCATGATGGAATGCCAAAGAACCTGTGTCATGTCAGTGAAGGGTAGGAGCAACAACAGGGTAGATGTGCTCACCATTGAGGACAAAGGCAAGCAGGTAAAGGCAGTGACTTTTCCATTGAACTTATTTATTTATTTATATTTTATGTGTATGAGTATTTCGTCTCCATGTATGTAAGTGTACCCATGTCATGCAGTGCCTATGGAGGCCAGAAGAGGGGATCATATTCCCTGGAACTGGAGTTAGAGCTGGTTGCTAGCTGCCATGTGAGTGCTTGGAATCTGGGTTCTCTACAAGAGTAGCCAGTGCTCTAACTGCTGAGCTATGTCCCTTGGATCTTTTTATTCTGGGCCACCGCTGGGAGGTGCTTCTCACTCTAGGGGAGTCTTTCCCCACTTAGTTAATCCTTGTAAGAAATATCCTCGAAGACCTGCCCCAGGGGCTTATCTTTTCCTTGATTCCATACCTAATCAGGCTGACAGCAAGATTTACCATCAGAACTGTGTGCCTTGGTTTGTATGCGCATACTTAACTGAGCTCCACTAGGTTGAAATTATTTCCTGTCCAATGTTTTTCTCAATTACTCTGCCATAAATGTGACCACTTTTCACTAGTTTGCGCATTGCTTGTACCAGGACTATCAGGACACTTAAGGCCTCTTCTGCCTTGGTACTTAGCCCTAGGGGGCCAGGCCATCTTTTAAACCCCCTCTTTCGGGCCTGGAGAGGTGACTCAGGAGGTAAGAGCACTTGTCTTCAGAGGATCCAGGTTTTGTTCCCAGTACTCACATGGCAGCTGTCATCCTCCTCTGGCCTTTGTGGGTACTACACAAGAGACCAATAAACATTATCAGCCATCAAAACCTTGCACAAAGAAAAGTAAGTAAATCATTTAAAACCCCTTCTTTAAGTTGTTCTCTAACTTGGTCTTTCTTAGGTTATTGTTGTCCTTACACATATACACCCAGCCCCGCAGATTTCTTAGACTTCTGCCACGTGAGATTAGTGCTGTAAAAGCAGGTTAGTCAAGCTATGACAGCTCTAGGAATGCTCAGAGGTTACTTGAGCAGAGCATTGATGGCGAGGTGCTTTCACCATAGCCATGATGCAGATGGAGGTTAAGAGACCAGCAAGTAACCAGGACATGTGGGATGCACAACCCAGCATGTTGGAAGGCTTTCTTACCCTGTAATCTGATTATATCTCATTAACCAGATGTTTAACCAACACTAAAAGTGCTGAAAACTATTAAAGTCTGAACTTAGGGCTCCTTTCATTTATAGACAGCATTTTAAAAGATACAGTTTCCTGTCACGTACTAGTTTATGTTCCTATTCGGTGTACCTTTCTCCCTGCTGGGTAGAACCAGTTTTTAAATGGACTTGGCAACCCCCTTAGCTTCCTAATTTTCCCTGTGAGGGGCTGCAAAGCTGATGCACCACCATTCAGAAGTTCTGAGCTCTTATTCCAGCGTCTCATTGCGTGGCGCCTCTGCTTTAATTACCTCACTTACTATAAAATGCAATTATGGCACAAATTTTTGCAGATAGCACTATTTCAAGAGTGGGGTATTTACCTTGGGTATAAAGCTTAGTGAATCTTTCTTTTTTAAAATACATATTTTATGTGTATGCGTGTATTGTCTGCATGTAGGTACGTGTACCTGTCATGCAACAGCCCCCTAGGTAAGTGCACCCATGTCGTGCAATGCCCCAGGAGGACAGAAGGGGCTGTTGGATCCCCTGGAACTGGAGTTACGGACACTTGTTAGCTGCCATGTGGGTGCTGGGAGTCGAACCCGGGTCTTCTGCAAGAACAGCTAGTGTTCTTAACAACTGAGCCATCTCTCCAGCCCCAAGCTTAGTGAATCTTAACATTCTTGCAGCTGAGTAGTACAGAAATTGACTTTAAGATTGGTGACTTTGGGAATTCCAGAAAGAGGAAATGGAAAGCTCCACACAGCCACAGAAGGTCCTGGTTGGGAAGCAGAAAGGTAGACTGATGTTGCCCTCGGTGGGCTTGTGGCAGGGCTCCTCTGATCTGTGAGAATGAGGTGGTGTATCAGAGGGAAACTGGTCCCAGACTAGGCTAACTGCAAATCTTAGCTTTCTCTGAGATTTGACTTGGGGCTACTCCCTTCTCCCTGAGTCTTGCCTTCATCTTCTGTTAAGTAAGTATTACCAACCTCAGGATTACTGGGTGAGTCAAATAAGACAGTAGAAGGGTCCAGTGAAAGGGGTAGAGGTTAAAGTGGAAGGTGCCCCTTCTCTCTTTGGTAGCTCAAATGCTTGTTTTCTGTTGATATTCAACACAAGGACATGTTGATTTTTTTCCACAAGATGAACAGATTCTAAATATGTTTTTTAGCCAGTAGCGCACATATCTCCTCTATAACTGTTCATTTATCCCCAAATAAGTGACGCATACAAACTGTAGGTTACTAAGGTGTGCCGTCAGCTATGCTAACATTCTTTGTCCTCCAGAGGCCACTGTTTGGTAGGGGAAATGATAGGAAACAAAGAAGGAAACCAGTAACTTTGCTCTTAGGACCATGGCATTTACTCTGGAAGAAAAAAAATCAGAGTGGTCTGGACAAGTGTGGCAGGGAGCATAGACTAATCTTGATGGTAGACTTTGCTGGAGGAAAGAGTACTGTAAGAGGATTGGCTTGCAAGGAAAGAGTAAGTTGCCATGTGCTGAGTAACCTGTAAGACAGAGAATTTATTAGGTAGTTGAATGGACAGACAAGGTTAGAAAAATGACTGGGGGTGGGATTTTGAGAATCACTAGCTTACAGAAGACAAGCCTGACGGTTTCTAGAGAGTCAGCCAGGTGAGGTGAGAGGACTCTGAACATGGGGGGAGGGACAGTCAGAGGAAAGAGTGGGTGACAGCATTAACACATGCTGCCAGGGATGCCAGGGAGATGAGGATTCACAAGAAGAGAATGCACTCAGCTCCTTCTTAGTGTGGACTGAGCAGGAGAAGGTGGGTCAAAAGCCTGGCACCCAGAGTTTCATTCGTGCCCATGGGTGGGGACCGGGTGAAACAGCATCCAATGCTGCTTTGGCCACAAAGAGCAAAAGATCTGGGGCTAACAGCTGAAAGAGGAGTAAGGTCAAGGGAGAAGGGAATTTCATTTTTTCACTAGTGCTGATTGGAAAATCTAAGAAATAACAAGAGGAAGAAACTGAAGGTAGAAAGAAAAAAGATCAGCCCTGGTGTAAGAATTTCAAACGGCAGTATGTAGGAGAAAGCGGAGATGTTTGTGTAAGGGAAGAAAGCTTATGGGGAGGGATAGAGAGGGACTGCTAACCAGAAAAGCCACAAGCTGTGTTCAGTACTGCTGACCAGGAGGGCCTCATGTAGCCACTTAGCCTGTGCTCATGTGAGGCCCTTGGGCAGCTTCCATTTTCTTATGTTGCCCTTTTATCTGTCAGAAAGCATTTTGTCTTGCCACGTGAAGAGGACACTGAGGGAAGATGAGGTTCAAGGGTTACCTGTGTTTTACTTGCTTTTGTTTTCCACTTGCTGTAGTAACCTTTCCCTTTCTCAATTTTTAGGCCTTTTCTGATGCCATTAAGAAATGGCAGGAGCTATCGCCTGAAGCCAGTGGAAAAAGGAAAAAGAGGAAAGAAATGAATCAGTATTCCTTTATAGATTTCAAATTTGAACAAGGTAATGGCCAGCTGAGTATTGATGACTGTGTGGAGTGGTAGTCTGGTAGCTTTCTTTCTATGAGCTCACTGAAGTGGAGCATGGTACCTGCAGGTTACAGAAAACCTAACAGGTATACCATATGTGGTGGCGCACGCCTTTAATCCCAGCACTTGGCAGGCAGAGGTGGGTGGATCTGTGAGTTTAAGGCCAGCCTAGTCTAAATAGAGAGTTCTGGGCCAATTGGGGCTACAGGGAGACCCTGTCTCAAAAAGAGCCCCCCCCCCAAAAAAAAAGAAAGAAAACCTAACAGGCACAAGTGACTGATAAAGGTCTGTTTTGTAGCATATCACAAATTATAGAAGGTAACTACAGGTGTTGGCTTCCTGCTTAGGTACTTTAGACCAGGAAAATTAAGTGTACATTTTAATTCTCTATTACAGAGAATTCATGTTTGCACAAATGGGAAATGCTGCAAAGCTTGCATAAAATAATCTTTAAGGTTTGAGGAGAATTGACTGTATAGTTAGTACCGATCACCTAAATCTATAATTGATTGATTGCTATAGAGGGATCCATTATGCACCTAACAGCATGGCTGATAGACAACATGGGTAGTAACCACATTTCTGTAAAATGCCTTGTTCCTGTTGATGGGATAACTGAAGAAAGCCTTTTAGAGAGGTTATCTCAGGCCTGAGCCCTGCTTCCCAACACAGATTGCTAAATTTTATAACATTTCATGTGTTTTTTTTGTATCAACAAAGGATTCACTACTTTTTCTATAGGCTTTGTCACAGATAAAAATATTGTTCCTTTCTCCTTCTTGTCTTCTGTTACATGTGTGCTTACAAAACTTCATTCCCGGGACAAATATCCAAGTACAACTAAGTAGAAATTCCCTGAGGTAACCATAGAGTTAGTATTTGGATTTCCAAATTCTTCAGATTCTAGCTCTCATCTCTCCCCAGGCTCTGACTCCGGAGGTCCTCCAGCAGTCTGTGGAGCAGTGCTTTGTGATTTGACAGTCTCACTGGTCTTTGGAAGAAAGGAGGGACAGCATAAGTGTTTCTCACTCAGCTAAATTAATGCAGAGTTTAGAGCAGGCATCCCTAAGATAAGTCCTTTGTTTCTTTCAGTGGTGGGAAAAGCACACTTTGCAAGATGCTCCACCCACTTCTTGGCCATCTCTGTCTTTCACAAAGCTCTTGGTGTTTCAAACCCAGATAGAAAACTTCCTTCCATGGTTGCAGATCGTGCTTCTGGAAAAAAAGGAAAAACTGAGGCACAGCAGGGCTGAGTAACCTGCCAAGTGTCACGCAGCTAGTCAGTAGACAAACTAGGATTCCAGCACTAGTGATCTGACTTCAAAACTCATTCAACACTGCTTTAGTACTCATAAAACAAAAGTCTTTTTTAAAATAAATATTTTAGCTGGGCGAGGTGTCATACACCTTTAATCCGAGTACTCGGGAGGCAGAGGCGGGTGGATCTGTGTGAGTTTGAGGCCATCCTGGTCTCCATTAGCAAATCCAGGCCAGCTGTGGCTACAGGGAGACCCTGTCTCAAAAAGACCAAAAAAAAATTTTGTTATTTTTTTTTATTTATTATTTTTATTTTATGTGTATGCATGTATTACCTGCATGTAGGTAAATGCACCCGTGTTGTCCAATGCCTGCGGAGGACAAAAGAGGCTGTTGGATCCCCTGGAACTGGAGTTACAGACAGTTGTTAGCTGTCATGTGGGTACTGGGATTCAAACCCGGGTCTTCTGCAAGAACAACCAGTGTTCTTAACCGCTGAGCCATCTCTCTAGCCCCAAAACAAAAGTCTTTTACAAATCAAAATATTTACATTTTTCAAAAGCCTAGTGAGAAGGAGGGTAAAATATGCCAGGACCCAGACATAGTAAATATTGTTAAGATCAAAATATTACCAAGAATACACTGGCAAGTAAATTCGAAAGCTGAATGTAATAGAGTTTTTAAAATTAACAGAAAAACAAAGCCTGAGCAGGCCAGTTCGGTGTCTGATATTTGTTTTTGAGACAAGGTCTTCCTGTAGCCCCAGATGGACTAGAACTCAGTCTCTAGCCCCAGATGACCTAGAACTAAATCTCACAAAGGTTGCCTGCCTCTGCCTCCCAAGTGCCAGGATTAAAGGCGTGTGCCACCATGACTGTAGTCTGATACTGGTTCTTCTGTTAACTTTTCTTCTACATGTTAACTCTTAAGTACTATTTTAGCTTTTCTATGTGTTTGAAGACTTTCACAATTAAAAGTTTAACTTGCAGAGTATTTGCACATGCCACAATGACTATAAATGTGATAATAATCAGGTATTGACAATGTAGAGCAACTGGAACCCACGTACATCACTGATAGAGAAGGAGGGTATAAATTAAAGGACAAACTGCTTTATTTTCTAAAGCTTGAAGTAAACGTATCCCAGCTCCTTCCTGCAAATCCAGATGACCAGCAGATTGACAGATAAATAAATAAGGATTTATTCCTAATAGCCCAGAACTATAAATCCTGTGTCCTTACCAGCAGAGTGGATAATAAATTCTATGTTTACTCAGTATAGCATTGTCAAGGCGGAAGTTTTGTAGTTGATGCTCACAGAGGAAAAAGACGGGATAGAAGGCGAAAGCAGGTTAAATACCATGAGGCATGTGATATGCAGCAGCAAGTGTGTTTCAGGAAGTCATAATGTCCTACCACAAGACCAGTGGGGCAAAGCTGCAGAAGACTGGAAAGGGCCTAGATTCCCAGCAAACGGCTGTCCTATGATTTTGCATTGTTACTTACCTTCTAGGTGACATAAAAATAGAAAAGAGGATGTTCTTTCTGGAAAACAAGCGTCGACATTGTAGGTCCTATGACCAGCGGGCCCTTCTTCCAGCTGTGCAGCAAGAGCAGGAGTTCTATGAGCAGAAAATCAAAGAGATGGCAGAGGTAGGAAACCATGCTTTAGTCTTGATATATAGTACTGTGGTTCTGGTTTGCTCATTGTTCAAGTGTGGTTCACAGCTGGCTCTGAAGAGCTTTCTTTTGGGGGGTTAGGGGTATAGTCCAATTTGGGTTCTATCACCAGCACCACATGGACATGCATGCAGACACTCCTTTTTCAAGAAAAGCATGGTGTCTTCTTGAAGGCTGAGGCAAAAGAATCTTGAGTTAGAGTCCCATAACCCCATTCCCACCTCTTCCCCTGGCATGGGGATTAAAAGAATTAAGCAAATATTCTGCCACTGAGCTATATCCTCCAGCTCAAAATTTCCCTTTGCTTTTGAATAATTCCCTAATTGCACAATAAAGTTTGGTTTTGTTGATTTTGTTTTGTTTTGTTTTGTTGGAAGCAGGTCTCACTGTAGCCCAGTCTGGTCTGGTATTCAGTATGTGACTCGGACTGGTCTTGAACTCTTAGAAAACCTCCTGCATCATCATGTTCAGTGGGAGAGCACTTGGCCTAGCATGTGTGAGATCCTAGTTTCAATTCCATGTTTCCAAGGAAATAAAGTGCTAGTTTTAGCTAGACATGGTGGTGTACACCTGTAATCACAGCCCCTGGGAGACTGAGGCAGAAGGATCACAAGTTCAAGGCCAACCTGGGATGCATAATGAGACCTTGTCTCCAAGAAAAAGAAAAAAAAGCTAGTTTTATGTGGAAGTAGCTTTGATAAAGTAAAAGTTGGATTTTTTTTTGTCAAATTTGGACCCCAAAGATATCTTTTCAATATTCTCTGAAACAAAATGAGAAGTTTGCATAATGTTCCCAAAGATGTGACACTTGTCCTACAGAGAGGCATTTTTGCAACTGAGTTGAGAGTAACTGGATCTGCCCTTTTCCTTATTATTGCCCCACCACCCGTAGAACACCATTTTTATTTCAAATGACTGAAAGAAAACTGGTGAATCAAAACTATTTTCATAGACACTGTCTCAAAAGTGGATGAAGTAGTGATGTGTGTGGTCAAAATTCTACATGTCAAGCAGACATTAGAAGTGGAGGAGCATTCCTGTCTTGATCCATCTATCACAATCACTAGTTTCACCATGGAGCTCATTAAAAAAATTACTTAAATAGTTAGCACATTAGTGGAGTATCTCAGTTATCTGTAGTCATTATTACTTCATGTCCCACTTGTCCCATCTGGCCAGTGTCGGGGCTTCGGGTTAGTCTTCTCTGTTGAAGTGAAGTAGTCTAGTCACATCCTTGCTTTCTGGCATGGTGAGGTGGCCCCAGTTCAACTTCTGCTCTCTCTGACCTGGACTTGGAATGGCAGTTTCCTCAAAGTGCTCTATTTTCTTTTCTGGGAATTTCGTGCTGAGATTTCTGTTTAAAACTTTGTATACAGATTTCATTACTGCTTTCATTTTATGTTTGTGTTTCTTTTGTGTCTGAAAAAAATCTTGGCTCTTAGTGACCTAACATTCCTATCAGATTTAAAGTTCATAAAATCAGCTGGGCACATGTCCTCGCTATAGGAGAACCTGAGGTAGGGAGGATCGCTTGACCCCAGAAGTTCAGGGCCCTGGACAGCACAGCAAAACCTTGCTTCAAAAGAAAGAAAGAAAATCCAGGCGTGGTGGTGCGTGCCTTTAATCCCAGCACTTGGGAGGCAGAGGCGAGTGGCTCTCTTGAGTTCGAGGCCAGCCTGGTCTACATAGTGAGTTCCAGGCCAGCTGGGGCAAAAGGAGGGAGACTGTCTCAGACAGACAGACAGACAGAGAGAAACAGAGAGAATACACAATAAAAACTAATTTAAAGTCACTTGAAATAAATGTGATTATGGTGTTAATTTGAACAACTAAGCTTATTTGTTTCTGTTATTTTGGGCTTCTAGGGAATTGGCTTTTTGCCTGTGTCTTGTTGTCTTTTGTTTGTTTTTGTAGCATTTTTATTTCTAACATCAGAACTATAAAGCAAAGAGTGTCTAAAGCTAGTCTCTTCTGCCACCATTTTCTGTATCTTCTCTCTACCTGTATTACTTATTTGGGTTTAACCTTTCCTTTAAATAAAAACAAGTATGTGTGGGTATTTTGTTTATCTCATTTGGTTGCCCAAAAGTTAGTCAGAAATTAATTAAAAAAGGGAAAAAAAGCAAATAAGGTTGGTAAGTTGGCTCAGCAGGTAAAAGCACTTGCTATTGAAGCCTGGTGGACTGAGTTTGAGTCTTAGAACCCACATAAAGGTGGATGGAGAGAACTGACTCCACAAAGTTGTCCTCTGGCCTCCACCTGCTTGCTATGACATGCATGCCCCACATAACACATATCATTCACACATAATAATAAAGGAAAAAATGTAAAGAAAATTTTAAAATATTTTATCGTTTAATAACCACATAATTAGAAGAAGCATTTCATGACATTTATTTAATAACCACATAATTAGAAGAAGCATTTCATGACAACAGCATTGACATAGTCATTAACATTTTCCAAAGCTAAAATGCATCTGTTTCAAGATTGGCTGTAAATTTTTAGGTTTACAGTTGAATTTATTTATCATTTTTATTTTATGTGTACAAGTGTGTTTCCTACATATGTGTAAGTGCAGCCATGTTGTGTGATGCCCACAGGTCAGGAGAGAGTCTTAGATTCCCCTGGAACTGGAGTTAGGGACAGTTGTTAGCCACCATGTACGTGTTGGGAGCTGAACCCAGGTCCTCTGTAAGATCAACCAGTGGTCTTAATAGCTGAGCCATTGCTCCAGCCCCAAGAAAATAAGTTTTAAAAAAATAAGATATTCTACTCATAATTGCATTTTGGCAATTATGTGGTAGCCATTCACAGAGACCCTCCTTTTTTCTTTCTAAAACCACCTAGGACACCTTTGTCTGAGGTGGTAGGGTTTAATCAGTTATGCTCCTTTTGATGGGCATTCAGGATTGTTTCCCACATTTTGCTATTGTTAAATAAAGTTTGCATACATTAGTTCATATTTTTGCCTCAGGGTGTCTTGGGGCCAAATTCCTAAAAGTGGCATTAATTGCTGGGCATGGTAGCACATACCTTAATCCCAGCACTCAGGCAGAGGCAGGCATATCTCTTTGACTTGGAAACCAGCCTGGTCTACATAATGAATTGTAGGCCAGCCAGAGCTAAATAAAAAAAAGTGTGCTGAGTTCACACCATGTCCCTCCCTCATTGTAGATGCTGCTTTGTATCCTCACCAGTTATTAATGAGAATGCCTGTTGCCACCCAGCCTCACCTACAAAGAGTATTGTCAGACTTAGTTTTGGCCCATTTTCCTTTTTGTTTGTTTATGCTGTTCAGGAGTGTTTTTAAGTCTGTTCACTTGTTCACTCTGCAAAAATTTTCCTCCAGTAACTTTTCAACTACCAAACTATATAACTGAAGGGATGCCTATTAATGATACTTAATGGAAATCAGTGCTAAATGGTTTGTGTTCTCCTAATTTGTATCTAAATGTTTCTTTTGTTCTTCAGCATGAAGACTTTTTGCTTGCTCTGCAGATGAATGAAGAACAGTATCAAAAGGTATTTTGGTATCTCACCAAGTTCATTTATTCTGGTGTTTTCATCGTGGCTTTCTCTTTATCGTGGTTTTTTTCTCACCATTTTGAAAACAAACAACTTCTACAATAACCTCCTGTTGATTTGCTGAGTTTGCAGTTCACCCAAATCACTGTTGGGCATATCAACTCGAGTAGAGTGTGTATGTTGGTGGGGCGGGGGACGGGGTGTCTTTTTTGTTTTGGTTTGTTTTGTATTTTTTGGTCATTTTTGAGACAAGGTCTTCCTGTAGCCGCAGCTGGCCTGGATTCACTAATTGAGACCAGGCTGGCCCCAAACTCACAGAGATCTTTGTGTCTGCCTCCCCAGTGCCAGGATTAAAGGTGTGCTCTACCACGCCCAGCTGTGTTTGGTCTTTTTGGAGCAGGGTCTCCTGTAGTCCCAGCTGGCCTGGCCTCAAACTCACAGATCCACCTGCCTCTGCCTCCCAAGTGCTGAGATCAAAAGTGTGGGCCACCTTAGTTAGATTAGAGGAGATTATCTTAAAACCAAATCAGAACTGAAGGGAGAAAGGGATAAGTTCTGATTAAAGAACATGAACAGGAATCTGCTAGTCAATTCCTAGAGGAAAATGTAGAGCTCAGATGTCCTGTATGTAGCCTTGTGCCAGGGGTTTCTATGCCATATCTGCCAGCTTGCATGGTGGGTTTTTCTTGCTGAGAACAGGCTGTTGACCATATCTGTCCTAGCAGTGAAACTGAAATTATATCCTTGCATGTACTTCAGGTTGGTATTATAAATGCTTTTAGCAGACCCTTAAGCTAAGACAACAGCTGGATTATAATCTTTTCACACTCTTGTCTCAGGGCAAGAAGAGCAAAATCCAGCTTTAGAAAGCTTTTTGGATAATGTATCATGCCATTTATATCCCTTACTTTTATAGCCACATCAGCATCTGTTGTAGCAGTTGCTTGCTGTCTGGTATCTTGAACTGGATTCATCTTTTTTTATTTTCTTACTTTTTGAGACAAGGTCTCACTCTGTAGCCCTGGTTGACCTTGAACTCTGGTTCCTCTTGGCATCAGCATTGCTGTGCTGCTTAGATAACAGAAAATTGTTCGTTGGTTATTTTATTTTATGTGTATGAGTTATTTCCTGCATGTATGTAAGTGCGCCCATGCTGTACAGTGCTCCAGGAGGCCAGAAGAGAATGTCAGATACACTGGAACTGGAGTTATGGATGGTTGTTAGCCACCATATGCATGCTGGGAACCAAACCTAGGTCCTCTGCAAAGCAGCCAGTGCTCTTAACCACTGGGTCATCTCTCCAGCCTCAGAAAACAGTTCAGACAGGGTCTCCCTGTAGCCTCAGCTGGCCTGAAACTTGCTATGTAAACCAGGCTGACCTCAATCTCATAGAGATCCACCTGCCTCGGGCTTGTGAGTGTTGGGATTAAAGGGTACACTACCACACCTGGCTACTTGCTTATTTTGACCACAGGGCATGTGTCTGGGGTGAGGAGGTACATGGGGTTATGAGATGAGGTCTATAGAGTGTGGAATGTGGGGCATTCACAGCTGTCTTGGTTGGCTTGCAGGATGGCCAACTGATTGAATGCCGCTGCTGCTATGGGGAATTTCCATTCGAGGAACTGACACAGTGTGCCGATGCTCACTTGTTCTGCAAAGAGTGTCTCATCAGATATGCTCAGGAGGCAGTCTTTGGGTCTGGAAAGGTAAGAAGTACCTCAAACAGTAGAATAGAGAAGGTAACCATCCTGATAAACAAGCATACTTCTGGTGTGGGGGCAGCATTCTCCTGATAAGCTGATAGGGGGATGACCTGGTCTGTGTGGTGACATCAGCTCTGAGTACATCCCTCCATGCCCCCTGTCTAGCTCCACAGGCCTCATCATTCCTCTTCCTGTTCACAGTCAGATGGAGGGTGAGCCAGAAAGAACATCTTCAGTTTATTTCAACATATAAGAGTACATTGGTACGTTTTCATAGATTTTAAAAAGAATTTTACAGTTGGTTAAAAGACATACTAACTGTAAGATATATCTTAATCTAAAGTCCATTTTCCTCAATACCAACAAAGACAATATTGAAAGGAGTTTTGTATTGCTTTGCACCTCTCTATTTGTAGTCTTCTTCCAGCATCAATAGAAAACACACAGTGAGCCTGGTAAAGAAGACTGCAATCCCAGCTACTTGGGAAGCTGAGGCAGGAGGATCATAAGTTCAAGGCCAGTCTAAGCAACCTTATTCAGTGAGACCCTGTCTCAAAATACAAAATAGGAAAATGACTGGGTATATAGCTCAGTAGTAGAGAGCTTGACTAGCACATGTGAGGCTGTAGATTCCATCCCTAGTAGCAACAGGGCGGGGGGGGGGTGCAGGGAGAAAAAAAGAAGAGAGGAGGAGAAAATCTTAACAGTGACCTAAAGAACGTGGCCTATTAAATGGCCTTTTTAGCATCATGAGGCAAAGGACACATCAGCCTCTTCTACTTCCTGTGATTCACTGAGAAATTGCCATAAGAATATAATTTTAGTCTAATCCTGAGACAAATCCCATTTGACAAATATTTTACAAATTTACTGACCAGTACCTTTAAAATATAGAGTTCCCGAAAGACTGAGAGATAACTGAGAAGCTCTGTGGGAGGGCAAAAACTTAGCCTCAAGTTCTCCTGTTGTCTGCTCACAACACAGGCCACTTACGTGATTCCCGAGTATGTGGGTTTTTCCTTACTAGCAAGTGAGCACTCAGTTCTGCAGTGGTCACCAGCTGGATTTCTGCTTAGAAACTGAATTGTGAAGATTGAGGGGTCTCAGCCTCCAAGACTATCTTCATTTCAGACTCAATTGGAAGTCAGGCCTCTAGAACGTCTCACCCATCTTTGACTATAAACTGAGGTTCCCATGACCTGCTCACCATGCTCAATTAACTTGCTACTTTAGCTCTCAGAATTCAGGCAAACACTTATATTACAAGGTTATTATAAAAGCTGTTGTAAAGGCTACAGGTAAAAAGCCGATCAAGAGATGCACAGGGCGAAGTGCCTAGTGCCAAGAGCATGGGAGTGTCTTGTTCTCTCCTATAGGCCTCCAGTGTTTAACACCCAGAAGCTCCCCATATCCTGTCTTTTGGATTTTTATGGAGACTTCCATTTCAAAGCTGGGATTGAAGTGTGGACAACTCATAGAAATGGGATTAGACAGATGGAGTCTCATAGACTCGGGAAACTCTGTGAAGCTGTCCAGATTCTACTTGGCTCTCTGTGCAGAATTCCTTCCCAAAGAAATGGGGCATGACCCCATCTGAAATTGAGGGTCTTATGTACTATCAGATTAGGTCAGAGAATTGCTTTTTGGCCCTCCAACACAAAAAAGCAGGGAAGAATTCAAGTATATAGTTCGTTTTTATGGCCAGCCTTGAAGAAGAGAAATTCTAGTTTCTATGGCCTTCCTTGAGGAGAAAAAAGAGCAGTTAAAAGGAGGGCAAGAGAAGAGAAGGTCAGAGAGAGACTTTGTTTTCTAAGGCTGAAAGTGCCCCAACATAGTAACAAAAGATGGTCTGTCACCTTTATCACTCAGAAATTGTTCAGAAGATCTTTTCAGAGCCAAGATCAAAAGGCCAAGTAGTTTAACTTTACTTTCTAGTCATTCAGAATGGATGAGGAAGAGACCTCATGGCTAGACTCCATGTGGGATCCTTGAGCAGAAAGGGCATGAGTAGAAAGCATGATGCAAGTCTGTGTCCCGCTTCTTCCACCAGAGAAAGGAGATTCAACCGAGGAGATTGTTGGGAACATTAAGTGAGATAATGTATGCTGTTTCAAGAACGTGTATTCTCCGGGCTTGGTGGCACATGCTTTTAATCCCAGACCCTGTCTCAAAAAGACCGAAAAAAAAAAAAAAAAAGGAACGTGTATTCTCACTCAGGATAAATGCTTCATAGATTTTTTTCACATAGATTTTTTTTTTATGCATTTGCTTTGGCATATGCCTTTCTATTGGGAGTGTTCCTCAGATGTCTGGCACTTTGCATTCTTACTAAAGAGCTGTTTGGAGGCTGTTTGATAGCATGTACATAGGCTGAAATTTTTGACTATAGGTGAACTAGTGTTTCAATGTTGTGAACCTTTAGTGACACTCAGGTTTTTCATTGGATATGGGTTCAAAATCTCCCTACCTTGTAGCATACTCCAGCTGAGTGGAAGGTAAGAGCTGGGGAAGTCCCAGTTCAGGGTGCAGCTTTTGCTTCAGGTCCTCACTGGAGGCCACACAGCTCTAATGTCCCTGAACCTTCCTCCTTTCTGCTGATTTCCACCAAAACGGAGTGGGAACTGAAGGCCAAACCACCCCTCCCCACTCCTTACTATTCCTGTCAGTTCCCACTTCTTCCCCCACTTTCCCAGAGGGTCTCCTGCATTGCAGAATCCACAAGGAACAGCTTACTGCAGCCACTAAGTGAGGCTGGCCTCCTCCAGCCCATTGAGCAATGTTACCTTCCCCATCCTTCATGGAATTTGTGTTTTCATTTCATGGCCTCCTTCTTTGAATAGTGAGGTCTTAGAGAAGAGGAGGCAGAGAGAACTATGCCACCTTCAGATCTCTGTTCTTACCTCCCATTGAAAGACACATTTGACCTCTTTGGCTTTTTGTTCTCCCCAAGCCCTGGTTGAGTTTTTTTCTTCTTGCCTGCTTATGCTGTCATTCCAGTCGGAGCTGAGCTGCATGGAAGGCAGCTGCACATGTTCCTTCCCAACCAGTGAACTGGAGAAGGTGCTCCCCCAGACCATCCTATACAAATACTATGAACGAAAAGCAGAAGAAGAAGTCGCTGCAGCCTATGCTGATGAGCTTGTCAGGTGAGTTCTCGGAGCTAGCTTGTTCCCCAAGGTGAAGACTTTAATTAGGCAAAAATTCTGTAGCAAAGCTGGATCTTCCAGGTTTTCTGGCACTTCTTGCTGAGAAATAAAATAATCACTTAAATTTTATAAATGAAAACATGTATAGAAGTAATCTTTATCTACTTCTCTTACTTTCTTCTAATTTTCTGGCCTGTAGGTAAAATCACTGTGCTGTGGGTAAGAGGAAAAGTAATGTGTGCAGTGAATTCTTGGAAAGCTTGAGGCATGTGGTTGACCCTACATTTGAACACAGGGTGGTGCCTATATTTCCTGGCAAATGCAAGTTCAGGAAGAAGCTCAGTTTTGGTGAAAACTGAGGTGTAAGAAACACTCTGCGCTGCTCAACATTTCATTTTGGTAAGAAAGTTTATGAAAGTCACCTGAACCACCTCTCCTGTTTACCCAGGTGTCCCTCCTGTAGCTTCCCCGCTCTATTGGACAGTGATGTGAAAAGATTCAGCTGCCCTAATCCCCGCTGCCGAAAGGTAAGGGAATCCATTTTTTTCTGATACAATTATTTGAATTTTGGTGCTTTGGACTATTCCTGATGGCCCACATAGTATGTGCTGTGGGTCTGAAAGATGATAAGAACGGTTTGTCCGCTGTCCTTTCCATGAGGCAAGTGAAGAGCAGTGCTTTGTGATGGTGGTTGGCATGGTTACAGAGCTGGAGCCACTTGTGGGATTCCAATCAGAAAGCTCAGGATCTCTATTCTGTACCATCTTATAAGGACAGATGCTCTGATGTAAGTGAAGGGTTTTCTCTTGCTATGCGATATTTCTTGCTTGCCCTTTTCCATACCCTGTGCCCCCAAACAACATACACTTCCTGTTGTTTTCAAAGTTTTAAGTGATACTTCTTTGATTAAAAAACTGGGCATCATGTTTGCATCTCTGTCATATCTGATAGGTTTTTCATTTGTCTAGTTTCCTCATAATAACCAGTTATTCAGAAGAGACCAGCCTTTCTTCCCTAGGCTCCTACTCTGAATATTTTGAAGTTTATCAACTGTAAACCACTTAAGAGTTTAGTGGCTATTGGCTTCCCTTCAGACAGATGTTTTTTGAGCCCATCTTATAAAACTACATGATGTGAGTTGAGTTATTGCCTTGCCTCAGAGAGAGGTAAACAGGTAAAAGTTGGGGAAGAAAGAAGAAACTATGAACTAAAACTTTACTCCATTGTTTTCAACATTCATATTTCTGTGTGAAACCTGTGTGTATTCTTACAATTAATGTAGCCATTTAGTAATTTGTCCTCCCCTCAGGCTGCTGCTGTACAAATTCTCCTAATAGTCTGTAGCATCTTGGTACTAAGAAAGCATAGTAGGACATCCTTGGGCTGTCTATAGTGTCAGGCACTGGAATACCTGAGCAGGTGACCCCTGAGCTAGGACACAGAGAGGGAGAAGAATGTAGCTAAGGGGAGTAAAAGGTGAAGGAATATTCTGGCGGGGGAAGTAGCAGCAGCCTGGACACTGATAAGAGACATATAAGGAAGCTCATGAGCCAGGTGGGAGTAGAAGAGGGACATGCAGGACCTGGAACACCATTCTGAGAGGGGGCAGAGGTAAAGTATCGGGAAGATCTGTTTGGTTGTTGAGTAGCCTAGGTAAGAAATATACATCATACCACCTCCTCTGGCATCTCCGTGAATTGCTTAGAAGAAGCAAGCAGGACTGTGTTTCTTGGTCTGACTCCAGTTGAGTAGGTCAGTGGGAGCAGGGGTGGGGAGTGCTTTCCAGAGACACTAGAAACTGCCCAAAGGTCCACGTGAATCTGAAGTAGTGCCTGGTGGGTATGCTTAGAACATCACTTGGGGATGCCACTGGGAGCTTTGCCAAAGAGCTGAAGGGCGTAGGCAGAAAGGCCTGTGGGAAGAATGCATTCACATGTACTGCTACACTTGAAGGATTCTTTAGAACAATGAAATGTCAGTGAATGAGTTACTTTTCTCATTGCTATGATAAAATTCCTGACAAAACAATTCAAGGGTGGAAGGGTTTATTCTGGATTACAGTTAGGGGATCATTTCCATCATGGCAAGGAAGACATAACAAGAGGCAGGGCAAGTATTAGGGGTGAGAGCAGGAGGCTGATTGGTCACACTGTCTGCTCTGAGGAAGCAGTGAACAGGAAGTGGAGCAGGCTGTACAAACTTGTCCCTAGTGACCCCCTTCCCTCAGTTAGGCTCTACCTCCTAAAATTTCCACAACCTTCCCAAACAGCTCTGCCAATAGGGGAGCAAGTGTTCAAACATGAGCCTTTAGGGGACATTTTACATTGAAACCACAGTAGTGAGTAGATAGAAAAGGCTTTTGGGTGGTACTAGTTCACACCCATTTGGATTGCCCTCCCTTGGTTAAATACTGAAGCATTAGAAATTTCCTTGTTCCCTGCTCTTTGGAAAGAGAGAGTATGAGTCTGCCATTCTAGCTGTTCAGAAACCTGAGTTGGAACAGTGATGAGATTTGACCTAGTCTGGAGGCCTAGGGACACTGAGAACAAAGAATGCTAGACAGCTTCTGCTACTACAGATGATCCATGCTGTAAGAGTCCAGCAAACCAACCAAGATGAGCTCAAAGAGGATGCTGATAATCATCTGGCAAAAATCAGACCAGGGGCTAGAATGGTGGTTGAGAGAAGACTAATGAGCTAAAGCATTACTCCATGTTTTGACAGTGGTTACAGAAGTCCTGGGTTCAGTTCTCAGCACCCAATTGATGGCTCCATTTGCACTCTTCTGGCCTCCACTGGTACTGCATACTAAATATTAGTATGCATACAGGCAAGTAAAACACTTGTACAGATTAAAAATAAATCTTTAATTTAAAAAAAAAATGGGGCTGGAGAAATGGCTCAGCAGTTAAGAGCACTGACTGCTCTTGCAGAGGACCGAGGTTTGATTCCCAGCACCCACATGGCAGCTACAAATGTCCAGTTCCAGGGGAAACCGAAGCCCTCTTCTGTCCTCTGCAGCATTGCACGACATGGGTGCCCTCACATACATGCAGGCAATACACTCATACACATAAAAAAAATAATAAATAAAATGTTTTTTTAACTAAAAGCTGGGCATGGTGGTGCATGCCTTTAATTTCAACACTCAGGAAGCAGAGGTAGGCAGATCTCTGTGAGTTCAAGGCCAGCTGGGGCTACAGAGAGACCCTCTCTTAAAAAGACCAAAATAAAAAAAATTTTTTTTTTTTTATTTTGGTCTTTTTGAAGCAGGGTTTCCCTGTAGCCCCAGCTGTCCTGGAACTCACTACGTAGACCAGGCTGGCCTTGAACTCACAGAGATCCGCCTGCCTCTGCCTCTCAAGTGCTGGGACTACAGATGTGCACCGCCACGCCTGGCTAAAAAAAATTGATTTTAATGTCAGACTAGGGATGTGGCTTAGTGGTAATACATTTTCTTAGCATGCTTCAGTCTTTGGGCTCAATTCCCAATTCCACCAAATGGTGGAGGAGAGATTCAGGAGTCAGAGGTAAGATAGACATTATTGTACTGAAGCAAGTAGCTGAAGCAAGATTTCAAGTTTTCAATCAGCCCAGGCTGTGCAGCAGGACTCCCCCCCCTCCCCACCCCCAAGCTAAAATTCCTTCTGAAGTCATGTAAACAATGTCTGCTCCCTCCTCCCTTGGTCTCAACAACAAACCAAGGTATGATTTCATCCAACTACAGTCTGAGAAACCAGTGAGTTTACTAGGCTTACTTACAGAGCAGTGGGTGAGGGTTTACTTAAAGGAGTGTGCGTGTTTCCCCTGGAAGGCCAAGCTGGAAAGTCTTCAAGCATGGATGGTAACTTCCCCACTACCACATAAAATGGTGAGAGAGCCTCCCCCAGGCTTCCTCAGGGTATATACCATGGCCCCTCCCCCTAGTGCAGTTAGCTAGGGCTGACTGGTTGGTTGGGAGGTATGACTGACTCTCCTGGCCCTCCTTCCTTGTGGAGTATAACAGTCAACAGGTATAGCTGTGATGCTCCTAGGCAAGTGGGCACAATCAAGTTTGGGAAGATGGCATCTGTCCATGGTTTATTAGAGGGCCAGCCTATGCAACCTCCTCCCCCAGAAAACAAAAGGTCAGGATTTTGAAAGCAGTAAAAAAAAAAAAATAAAAACAACCTCAATCTGAGCTGGGAGTGGTGGCACATGCCTTTAATCCCAGCACTTGGGAGGCAGAGTCAGGTGGATCTCTGAGTTCAAGGCCAGCCTGGTCTACATAGTGAGTTCCAGGCCAGCTGGGACTACAGGAAGATCCTGTCTCAAAAAAGACCGAAAAAAAACAAACAAACAAAAAAGCCTCAATATATTAAGAGGAACATCTGTAAAATCAGTGGATTTCTCAGCAGAAACCTTGCAAACCAGAGGGGGTCTGGTGGCGTATAATGATAAGGAAAACTGTCAGATGAAGAAAATTTTTTTGACAAAAGTGTTCTTCGAAGGTAAAAAAGGGACTGGAAAAATGGCTCAGTGGTTAAGAACACTGGCTGCTCTTGCAGAGGACCCAGGTTCTGTTCCCAACACCCTCATGGCAGCTAATAACCATCTATAACTCCATTTCCAGGGGATCCAATGACCTCTTCTGGCCTCCTTGGGCATTGCATGACACAGGTGTATTTACATACATTCAGGCAATACACTCATATATTCAAGAATAATAAATTAAATAAATGAATGAAGAAGCAGCCAGTTGTGGTAGCAAACATCTCCCACCACTCAGGAGGCAGAGACAGGTGGATCTTTGTGAGATCAAGGCTAGCCTAGTCTACATAGCCAGTTCCAGGCCATCTGGGCTACAGGGAGACCCTGCCCTCCCCCCCCCCAAAAAAAAGAGGAAGAGACCAGGGCCAGAGAGATAGCTCAGTCAGTAAAGTGCTTGGTATGCAAGCATAAAGACCTGAGTTCAATTCCTGGGTGTGGTGGCACACTCTTATAATCTCACTACTGGGGAGACAGACTGTAATCATTGAGCCCCAAGTCCCGGTGAGATACCCCATCTCAAAAACCAAGGTGGACAGCTCCTCAGCACCACCTGAGGTTGACCTCTAACATCCCTCATATTCACACATATATGAACCTGTACACACACACAAAGTATATGAGAAACCAAATGTATGCCTTTTTTTTTTTTTTTTTTTTTTTTTTTTTTTTTTTGGTCGTTTTGAGACAGGGTCTCCCTTTAGCCCCAGCTGTCCTTGAACACTATGTAGACCAGGCTGGCCTTGAACTCACAGAGAGTTCTCTGCCTCTGCCTCCAGAGTGCTGGGATCAAAGGCGGCCACCGCCACCGCTGGATAAGGTGTATGTTCTTTTAATCCCAGTATTTTGAGAGGCTGAGACTGGAGGAAGATAATGAATTTAGATCCAGCCCATCTCAAAAAAGAATAAGAAATGCTGATGAGTGTTCTTTAGGTTGTTCCAAAAAGATGTACTAAATAGCAACGTGAACATGTATGAAATTTTAAAGTCCATCCATTAG